TAAGAAATTAAAATCATGATTTATTAGGATTCTATAAAAATTACCCAAACAAGAAAAACATGCTTCATAATCATTTATTTGAATTTAAATGGGTTTATTTGAGATCCTACAACTTAACCAAATAAGCTCTAAGCAAGTAATAATTCAGTCATGATATAACATAACTACCCCATCAAACATGCAACTAACTGATTTTTTTTTTTTGGTCAAAAGATGCAACTAACTGATTTAAACCAACACATATTACAAATTTGATTACATATTTATTACAAGTTAATTATGCATAACTTATTTTTAATGGGAGCACATTCCATGCTAGTTACAATAATGAGCATAGAGTGCTTATCACAGTTTGGATCATCCAAATCGATTCTAAATAGTTCAAGGTGAATTTAAATTTTTTTAAATATATTTTAAGACTTTTTTTGTTTTAATAAATACAGAATTTAAAATCAATATAATACTCCTCCAGTCGTAAATATGAGATCCTTATATAGTGTATATAAGGGTCTTATATTTAGAACCAGAGAGTATCATAACTAACATATCTTTAGAAAATAAATTTATCACTGAAAACATTATATATTAAACATTTTAAATCTGAACCATCCATATAAGATTTTGGATGGTTAAGATTGACGAGTACATGGTGCTCATTATTGTGATAAACACTAAATGAAGACCCATTTTTAACTATACGAAGAATAGAAGATACTTTGTACATGCTAAAAATATATTACACAGAGTTAAAAACTAATTTTACCCACTTACAGACTTGGGTCCTTAAGTATTTTGGTCGATAGATTTTATGATAAGGAATTTTTCTGCAATTTTGTCTCATTTATTTTCATCACTAATATAAAACATTAGGTCTTTGGTTTAAAGTTGGAAAATATGATTTATCTGAAAAATAAAAAAAATTGTTTTCAACAGCAAAATTTACTATCGTAAATGTTTTAAGGAATAAATAACTTCTGAATTTATTTAGTTCTTCAAAATATTTTTCCAAATAATTAAATAAAGAATAATAAAGTGATGTTCGTGGTTCAACTTCAATTAGCAAGTCTCTCCTAAATTCACCTAATCATCAAAATAATCACATGAAAATGTGAGAGGTTTCACTACCTCAAAACGTTGGTGAACAAATTTAGATGTTTAATCCTCTAAATCATTCTTTACGGAAGATATTATGTGCTGAAGAGCCTCTAGTTTCATTACAAACGAAACGTCATGAGTTTGATCTCACTACTTCCTTATAATGTTGTCGTATCTTATGTATGAATAATATGTCTTGTTAGGATGAATTTTATATTATATACTCGTTCGGTTTTAGATAGAAGACTTATTTAATAGTATAATTTATAATATAAAATGAGTCTTATATTTAGAATTGATAGGGTATTAAAATATTGATGATTTTATATGATATAAGCAAACACACACTAACACACATACATATTATTTTTTATTATTCGGTGAAAAATATTAGTGAGTTAAATTTAAGTATTATTAGATATATAATATTTTAATAGTCGTGTTATTAATAATTTTTTATATATGAAAACTTCAAAGACGTATCGTTGTATTTGAAAGGCTTAAATGTCAAGACTTTTAAACGATATTTCAGTGATATGAAAAAAAATAATGTTGATATTAATTTTAATTTATTTTTCATACATAATTCTAATTTTGTTTACATTTTATTTCTCAAATGCTTAACATATATTAAAATGTGCTATAATATTGGGAGAATTACAATCAGGGCCTAAAGAAAAGATTTAGTTACCTTAAAGTTTATTAACAACTGAAAAGTATGCAATGACAAATTTTAAAATAGAGAATGACGGTAGTTTTATATTGGTTACTTATCATTGAAATTTCTTAATAATTAAATTCTTTTTCTGAAACTTTATGATAATTCCCCCTATAATATTCACATTAAAAAAAAATACATACATATGTAGGCTTGCCAATTGTCCCAAGTTGACATAAATAATGGGTAGTCGAATAGTGGCGGCCACGCATGGGGAGCAATTTTCACGTGTGCGCGGGCGCATAAGCCATTGTGTGAGTGTTATCATCAACCGTAATTATCAATCAATATAATATTAGCATATAAGATCTATCCATTTTTCCAATTTTCTTTGTCTATATAACCTCATGCTTAATACTTAGATCAAGTTCCTTACAATCATCATATACAGTTCTTTAATTACATATTATTATATGTCTTTTTTTTTTCATGTGGGTTTGGATTAAATGATAATGTGAAATTAAACCGGACAAAAAGTATAGTTAGAGAACTTGACATAATAATGATAAGAGATGTTACCTAAATTTTATCCTAATCTCACTTGTGTTTTTCTCAAAATTATGGTACTTTTAATATGTTAGTTCGAATGCATATACTCTTCCGGTCCTTAATATAAGACCCATTTAACTAATTTGATTAGATTAAGGAAGTTAGTTAATTATAAGAAAAGTGACACATTTTTCCTAAAACACCATAATCATCTTTCTTAATACCCCATATCTCTCTTCTGTTTGATTATGGTTGAGAGAGTATCCATAGGGGTAATTTTAGAGAAAGTTGATAAATATGATAAATAAGTCTTATATTTAGAACCAAAACCAACTCAAGAATTGGGTCCTATATTAAGGACCGGATGAGTCCAATGTTTTCACGTTTTGGTGATAGCTTAGGAAAATATATTACGATCCAAGTCCCACATTTATTGAGTAAAACTCAATAATTCAATGAGTCCATGATTAGTTTATTTGAAAACCAACTAATTAGCAACAATAATTATTCTCTTAAACTTTTTTTTCCCCCACCAGCCTCCTCATCACTCATTATGCAGGGACCTTCATTTGTAAAAGCCAATGACTCAATACAAATTACTAAAATTCCAACACATCTTCATTACTTGCTAAGACCTTGAATTCTACCAAGCAATTGTGGTAGGCATTTATTTACATTGAATATTACCTGAAAGTTACACTATTAATTTATACTTCTCTTGTCCTATTTATAATTCACTTCCAACGTGTTTCACATATACTAAAAAAATTTTAAACTTCATTAACTTTTATTTAAAATTCAACAATTTTTCAACTTTGTTTCCATTAATATACGTTATATCTCATGTAAACAAAGTCATCATAATAATAAATGAAGGGCAAAATTGTACATCAATATAGAAATTTTTTTTTAGTGTCTTATAAATAGGACCAAAAAATGTCGTTTCTTTTCCTACAAACCATAAGAGTAAATGATAATTAGTGCAACTCACTTTTAAATATTATGTAATGCCCAGGAAAAAAAATGTGTCCTGCAAGCATACCGGGAAAAAAAAAAAAAAACCTCATCTCACTTCATTGTGTTCTTTGTAAATTTTTCAAATGTATAATATGAGACTGAGAATTGATAGAGCATGCTAAAATGGAGATTTCAATGTATTTCACCATCTTGATGGCAAAAAAAAAAAAGCATCTCACCATCTTACGCATTCATTCTAGCATGCTTCTTTTGATTTTTGGAACTCTTGATTTTAAATATATAAACTAATTAAGAATTAACTTTAGTCTTAAATGTGAGGTATCCATTCATTTTACTTCTCATATTTATCATTTTTTTCAAAAATAATTGATCTAACTTGATAATATAATTTAAGCAGAGCAAATTATATTTATTATAATTAATTAATTTATTTAACCTCTTTACTGTACCCAAATTGAGTAACTCTTATCCTGTGTTTGGTATGAGAAAATTGAAGAGGAAGAAAGGGGAGAGAAAATTTTAATAAACATGATTTAAAAGATTTAAGTAGTGAAGTTTTAAAATTTTGATAAAGAAAAGATATAAAATGAAAAAAAGACAAAATTAAATGAAAAACTTCTAATCCTATTTCTTTAATTTTTTTAATCAAGATCATTTAAAATTTTTTCCTCTGTTTTTGTTTGTCGTACCAAACAGATACTCAGGTTAAGGATCAGGAGAATACTACACAAGTAGTCGGTGAGTCGGCGCTTTTGTTGTATGTTCAAAATCTTTTGACTTCCTCGTTCTCTGGGCTCAACCACAGGAATTTCAGTCATCTCACCAGCTCACGCGCAAAGAGAGATTATAAGAAAAGAAAACAAAAGGGCTATAACAAAAAGGCTATCTCTATTTCCGTTTCTTCATATCACCATCGTATCAAAGGCGAAGATCCAAATTCATGACTTTTAAACAATATGTGAGACAGCAAGATAACAACTTCTCATATTTCCAAAACGAACCAATGTCAATACAATGATCACCCCCCAAATGGGAAAATTACACTCAGGTCCCACAGAGCACAATTAATATAAAAAAAGTCCCTCGAAATCGCGAAATGATTCTGAAGTCCTCAGGGACCTGTGTGTAATTAATTCTAATTGTGAAATTACGTAGTTACCCCTGTTAATTTGAACCTATTTACAATTTCAACAGTGGCTGTTAACAACCCGAGAAGAGGTGGTTAACAACCTCAACAACACCCCTGGCATTCTACAGAGTGAATTGTCATGAGCACTGCCGAGGTTGTCAATCACGTCTTCTCGAGTTGTTAATAGCCACTGTTGAGATTGTAAATGAATTGCTGCAATAAAATTAGAACTTATTTACAACCTCAACAGTGGCTGTTAACAATCCGAGAAGAGGTGGTTAACAACCTCAACAACGCCCCTGACATTCCACAAAGTGAGTTGTCATGAGCACTGCCGAGGTTGTCAATCACGTCTTCTCGGGTTGTTAACAGCCACTGTTGAGATTGTAGAGGAATTGCTGCAATAAAATTAACAGGGGTAAGTAGGTAATTTTACAATTAGAATTAATTATACACAGGTCCCTGGAGACTTCAGAATCATTTCGCGATTTCGAGGGACCTTTTTGATATTAATTGTGCTCTGTGAGACCTGAGTGTAATTTTCCAAAAAAAAAAAATTACATCGATCACAAATTGCAGGGAACATGTCACATGCAAAAGATCATATTTACATGCGTGGGAAAACACAAATACAAAGTATACAGATAATCCACCAGTCGTCAAAAGAGGAGAAAACCCTTGAGTTCTTACTATTAAGAGAAGATAATCGCAATCACCATTGACTCTGGGAGCTGGAGACTGATTCAGCAATGGCATTGATCTTCTTCTGCAGCTGTGGCTTGTTGGCTCCCGCAAGTTTGTCAATCTGTTGTCCATTTTTGAGAAAGAAGAAAGTTGGAGTGGCCTTGTAGTCCCATGAAATACTAAAGTCCTGCAACATACAAAACCATGTCAAAGACTTGCAAGTCTTCACTCAAATCAGGAGTTTACAAGGTCATCTCAGAAATTTACTTCTCTTTTGATTTCTAAAAGATATCTTCGTCAACTAGCTGATGTTTGAGGAATTCCTTGACTGATGGGTGTAACTTAGAAAGAATATCTGTTTAACTTTGTCCACGAGACTAATAATATGTCACGTAAAAATCATAATTAGAAAGTCATGACATTAAAGAATGACACATGTAGCTTCATTACTTACAGCTAGTTCATCCACGTCAATTAACAAGAACATCAAAGATGGGTATTCCTCAGATAATTCGCTGTAATACGGAGCAACTGTCTTACAAGGACAACACCATGCTGCACTGAAATTTGCAATCACCTGCGGAACATACAGTTTTAGAATTAATTATGGTATCCGAAGATGAAAGGTAAAGGATTATTGAAGGAGCCAAAAACGAGTCTGAAGAAAATATACTTGCAAATCTGGGAGCAACTGAATGTTCTTACATTTCATATTGAGCAGGACAGCCCAACTTACAAATTCACACTAGTCTATGCGTGTTCAGAGAGAGTTCATAATTTGTATTTTAAAAGGTTTTATCAAACCCAATAAGAGTGAGTCAGCGGATTATCCAATGCCAATTTTGAAAAGATCATTTTATCCCTTCAGTCTTTTAATGAAACTTCGTTTTAAGTTTCTGCTTGTACCCACTGACAGACTTGGGTCCTTAAGTATTTTGGTCGATAAATTTTATAATAAGGAATTTTCCTGCAATTTTGGCTCATTTATTTCCATCACTAACATAAAACTCTAGGTCTTTGTTTTGAAGTTGGAAAATATAATTTATCTAAAAAATAAAAAATAAATTGTTTTCAACAGCAAAATTTAAAAGTTATCTATTTTTAAGGATCTCAAAGTTATAATCCACAATAATACGAATTTAAAATCCCCCATCCAAACTATGAGTATTTATCACGAAAATATCAACAAATTTACATCATAATTATAAGTGAAACTATAATTATTTAGTGAATCTTCAAATATTTTTCCAAATAATTAAATAAAGAATAATAAAGTGAGGGGGAAATGTACAAGGTAGTTCTCTTTTGCATGCCAGATTTCCACAGTGATCTTCGTGGTTCAACTTCAATTACCAAGTCTCTCCTAAATTCACCTAATCATCAAAATAATCACATGAAAATGCGAGAGGTTTCACTACTTTCTTGCAATGTTGGTGAACAAATTTAGACGCTTAATCCTCTAAATCATTCTTTACGGAAGACATTATGTGTTGAAGAGCCTCTAGTTTCATTACAAACGAAACGTCATGAGTTTCTCCCTACTTCCGTATAATGTTGTTGTATCCTATGTATGAATAATATGTCTTGCTAGGATGAATTTTATATTATATACTCGTCCAATTTTAAATATAAGATTCATTTTATAGTATAATTTTTATACTGTAAAATGAATCTTATATTTAGAACTGAAAAGGTATTAAAATATTGATGATTTTATATGATATAAGCAAACACACAGTAACACACACATATTATTTTTGAGTTATATTTAAGTATTATTATCTATATAATATTTTAATAGTCGTGTTATTAATAATTTTTTTATATTAAAACTTCTAAAACGTATCGTTGTATTTTGAAAGGTTTAAATGTTAAGACTTTTAAACGATATTTTAGTGATATGAACAAAAATAATGTTGATATTAATTTTAATTTATTTTTCATACATAATTCTAATTTTGCTTATATTTTATTTCTAAAATGTTTATTATATATTAAAATGTGTTATAATACTGGGACAATTACAATCAGGTCCCAAAAGAAAATATTTAATTATCTTAAAGTCTATTGATAATTAAAGAGCATGCAATGATAAGTTTTAAGATAGAAAATGACAATAGGTTTATACGACTCACTTGTCGTTGAGATTTCTTAGTAATTAAATTTGTTTTTTGAAAATTTATGATAATTCTCCCTATAATATTCACATTTAAAAAAAAAAACACACACACACATATGTAGGCTCGCCAATTGTCCCAAGTTGACATAATAGTGGGTAGTGGACTAGTGGCAACCACGTATGGGGAGCAATTATCACGTATGCGCGAGCGCATAAGACATTGTGTGAGTATAATCATTAACCTTGATTATCGATCAATATAATACTGTCACATAAGATCCATCCATTTTTTCCAATTTTCTTTTTCTATATAACCTCACACTCAATACTTATATCAAGTTCCTTATAATTATCATGTACATTTTTTTTAATTACATATTATCACGTGTCTTTTTTTTTCATGTGGGTTTGGATTAAATGATGATGTGAAATTAAAACGGACAAAAAGTGTAGTTAGAAAACTTGATATAATAACTATAAAAGATGTTACCTAAATTTTATCCTAATCTCACTTGTGTTTTTCTCAAAATCATGGTACTTTCAATATGTTAGTTCGAACACATATATAATGTTTTTACCTTTTAGTGATAGCTTAGGAAAATATATTAAGAACCAAGTCCCACATTTATTCGGTAAATTCAACAATTCAATGAGTCCATGATTATTTTATTTGAAAACCAACTAATTAGCAGCAATAATTATTATTTATTGAGTATAACTCAATAATTCAATTAGTCCATGATTATTTTTTTGAAAACCAACTAATTAGCAGCAATGATTATTCTCTTAATCTTTTTTTTTTCCCCGCCAACCTCCTTATCACTCATTATGCAGAGACGTTCATTTGTAAAAGCCAATCACTCCATACAAATTACTAAAATTTCAACACATCTTCATCACTTGCCAAACTCTTGCATTCTACCAAGCAATTGTAGTAGGCATTTATTTGAATTGTATATTAAAGTTACACTATTACTATCTCGGGTCCTTAATATAAGACTTTGTTTGATTTTTATTTTGGTTCTAAATATAATATCTCAATCTACTCTGTCTCTATATTTATGTATTTTTTTAAGATAGTCCTTATAACAATAATAGTTCTAGCCAATACACTTGATTAGTAAAGATATTTTAGAAAAGACAGCATCTATTTATTACAAATAACTAACTTAGCTTTTTTTCTTAATCTCCTCAAATTAGTCAACTAGCTCTTATAAATAGGACCAGAGGTAGTAATTTATAAGTGATAATTAGTGCAACTCACTTTAAATCTTATGTAATGCACAGGAAAAGAATGTGTCTTGCAAGCATACCAAACAGAAAATCTCATTTCACTCCATTGAGTTCTTTATAAATTTTTCAAATATATAATCTGAGACTAAGAATTAATAGAGCACGCCAAAATGGAGAATTCAATGTATCTCACCATCTTTGGCATTCATTCTAGCATGCTTCTTTTGATTTTTGAAACTCTCATTATTTTAAATATAGGAGCTAATTAAGAATTAACTTTAGCATTCAATGTGAGGTATTAATCCATTTTACTTCTAATATTTATCATTTTTTCTCAAAAATAATTTATCTAACTCAATAATATAATTTAATGTTACATAAAAATATTTTAAGCAGATCAAATTATATTTATTATAATTAATTTATTTCTTTAACTTCTTTACTGTACCCAAATTGAGTAACTCTTGCCCTGTGTCCGGTATGTGCGAATTGGAAAGGAGCAAAAGGAGGGGAAAATTTTTAATAAACTTGATTTGAAAAATCTAAGAAGTGAAGTTTTAAAATTTTGATAAAGACGATATGTAAGATAATAAGGGAAGAAAATTAAATTAAAAACTTTTTATCTTATTTTTTTTAACTTTTTCAATCAAGATCATTAAAAAAAAATTTTCCCCTCTCTTTATTCGTACCAAACTGACCCCCAGGTTAAGGATCAAGAGAATATTTATTTTTAAGTACAAGCAGGCGGTGATTCGGCGCTTTTGTTGTTTGTTCAAAATCTTTTGACTTCCTCTGTCTTGGCACAACCACAGGAATTTCAGTCATCTCACCAGCTCATGCGCAGAGAGAGATTGTAAGAAAGAAAACAAAAGGCTATAACAAAAAGGCTATCTCTCTGTTTCTTCTTATCACCATCCCATCACAGGCGAAGATATAAATCTATGACTTTGAACATTATGTGAGACAGCAAGACAACAACTTTTCATATTTCCAAAACAAACGTCAATACAATGATCACAGGAGGCCCCCCCAGAAAAAATTACACTGATCACAAATTGCATGGAACACGTCACGTCACATGCAAAAGATCATATTTACATGCGTGGTAAAACACAAATACAAAGTTTACAGATAATCCACCAGTCGTCAAAAAAGGAGAAAACCCATGAGTTCTTACTGTTAAGAGAAGATAATAGCAATCACCACTGACTCTGGGAGCTGGAGACTGATTCAGCAATGGCATTGATCTTCTTCTGCAGCTCTGGCTTGTTGGCTCCCACAAGTTTGTCAATCTGTTGTCCATTTTTGAGAAAGAAGAAAGTTGGAGTGGCTTTGATGTCCCATGAAATACTAAAGTCCTGCAACATACAAAACCATGTCAAAGACTTGCAAGTCTTCACTCAAATCAGGAGTTTACAAGGTCATCTCGGAAATTTACTTCTCTTTTGATTTCTAAAAGATATCTTCGTCAACTAGCTGATGTTTGAGGAATTCCTTAACTGATGGGTGTAAATTAGAAAGAATTTATGTTTAACTTTGTCCACTAGACTAATAATATGTCACGTAAAAAAGCACACCTAGAAAGTCATGAAATTAAAGAATAACATCTTTAGCTTTATTACTTACAGCTAGTTCATCCACGTCAATTAACAAGAACATCAAAGATGGGTATTTCTCAGATAATTCGCTGTAATATGGAGCAACTGTCTTACAAGGACCACACCATGCTGCACTGAAATTCGCAATCACCTGTAGAACATACAGTTTTAGAATTAATTATGGTATCCGAAGATGAAAGGTAAAGGATTATTGAAGAAGCCAAAAACGAGTCTAAAGAAAATATACTTGAAAATCGGGGAGCAACTGAATGGTCTTATATCTCATAGGAAGCAGGACAGCCCAACTCACAAATTCACAATAGTCTATGCGTGTTCAGAGAGAGTTCATAATTTGTATTTTAAAAGGTTTTATCAAACCCCGCAAGAATAAGTCAGCGGATTATCCAATGCCAATTTTGAAAAGATCATTTCATCCCTTCAGTCTTTTAATGAAACTTCGTTTTAAGCTCCTGGTTGTATCACTTAGCAGGACATCAATACTATATCGTGATTCAGAATTAGAGCATACGCTATGTAGGCCATGTAGTTCCAAAGAAAATGCAATAATCAGATCTAATTATATTCATTTTGAAAATAATAACCAAGCTTTAAATGACGTGCAAAAGGAAATAAAGACAGGGACATGTTTAATAGCTTCTGCATAGAATTGAGTTGGAATCACGTAACATGAACGATTGCAAACTAAAGGCAGCGAAAAGAACAAAACAGGAAAAAAGGCGCATCTCACTGACATTGACTCAGATGCAGTTATACCATCAAAGTTTGTACAGTAGCATCGGATTGCCTAGTGTGAGAGATAAAAATTACTAAGGCTATCAAATACAGAAATGCAAAGTAAGATATTGTAAGGTTCATCCAAACACACGGAAAACAAATGGTAATAAGCCTTCAAATAACCAACTGTGTTGACAAAATCTTTAGGATAGAAAACTTACAATTCTGCCATCCCTTGTTGCTTCTGCCAACTTTTGATCCCATGATTCTTTGCTGGTAATAAGTTGTACGTTTCCAGAAGCCAATTCCATATGATGATCAGAATCGTCATCCCGACCTCGAGGCTACAAGCATTACAAACATTCTCAAAAGAAAACACCACATAATGAAATAAGCAGACTGATGCACAATGAATTTTAGAAGCACTGAGGTTCTACAAACCATGCTGAACTATCATAAGCATAAACCCCTTTTCATTATTGTTCTCCTTGGAAGCATGTATTAGAGGGACAAAAAAAAGGTCAGGACTCAGGAGGATACTACATTCGCAGATGACCAAAGTTTTAAGCTACAGTTGGCATACTATTGAATCATACCGATTCAGTAGGTTTCCCTGCAATCACTGAAATATCACGCGCGTAAAGTTTCAGGTGAATGGCATTTGTAGCCTTTTGAGTGGATGAATAACCTAGAAAGTTGCATTTAAGAACTCTAGGATTAAGAGTGGACATCCATCTGACAATATCTACTTTCAGACAAAGAGTTGCGCATATCTGCTTTCAGCCAAAGAGTTGCGCACATGCACACATTGCAAGAAAACTCATTCTTGAGCTAAAAATTAACCTCAGCTCCAGCACTCAGAATTTGCAGCCATATTCTAAATTGATGACTTTCATAGCAGGAATATGCAGTTCGATGAAGATAAAATTTCATCATCACAATCAAAAGAGAGGTGCAAAAGCCATTAGCTCTTTAAATTTTCATTACAATGGTTTTGATTGATATTTTTATATGCTCACCTTACAGAGGCAAAGCCCCATACTTAGTTCCAGAGGATGAACTTGTAACCTTCAACGTCGAATTGGTATAATAGCTGAAGCCTGAAATCAGAAAACCACCAATCTCAGAAACTCATTTCCAAAGTCCTTCAAACTAAAGGATGAAGTACAGCAACAGAAATGTTACAGATTGACTATTCAATCCATGCAATACTCAATTGACAGTCAGCCTGCAAATCACACCAACAACGCAGTAAAAGAGAAATAGAACTTTTTTTAACTGCAAGGTGTTAATTAGAAACCTCAGTGATTCTCACTTGCTTCTATAAATATAATCCGGGACCAGATTCAGAAATGACTTCCTTACATGCATGGAATCATAAACTAGTGGAAATTAGAAATAAGAGGCCTCACAAACATACATCAAAACAGGAATTTTAGCAGAGCTAAATTCATGCAATTTTCAACACTTGTCAAGTAGAAAACAAATGAAACAGCGTCTTCAAGTATTGAAAAATGAAACAAGAGTAAGGAAAAGTGAAAAGGGGACAGGTGAAAAGAGCCAGATGAAAAATTGGAAAGCGTATTCTGGCGTAATTCGCCATACATGTTTGGTTACATATTAATGAATTTTTAAGTGTTTTCCAAAATCACAAAGTAAAAGATTTTAGATGCATGGGCTACTCCATCCACCCCTTCGCCAATCCAGTCCGGAAAAATCGTTATAAGCAATAAAAGAATTGACAATAAAAACGAAAGTTCCATTCACACTAGGAATCTAAAGTTGCATGCTTTCTATCCATTTTGATCGACAATTAAACGAAACACTAAAGAGAAACAAAAATGAAACAAATAAACTTGTAAGAAAACGCACTGAAGAATTACCTGTGAATAGCGATGGATCTGATTGTGATTCCCAAACCCGAAGCAGAGAAAGAGCGAAAACCTAATTATAAGATTCGAGGAAGAATCCCAGCAAAATCTGAAACTACACTAGCTCGGAGAAGAAGGAAATGAAGAAAAGTTCCTTTAATAGACCAAAAGGGGGAAAAATAATAACTTTGGCTTGGATATCTCATAAGAATAACATGAGTTTTATGACAGCCCTCAAACCCTGAACGGAGACCACTTATAAAAGGGACATGGCACCAAAGTCAGAAAGATAATCTTCGGATGCCCAAAGTGCCCTGGAGCGTTTGGAAGGAGGGGGAAGCAATCGGAGGACATTTTGGGAAAAACAGCTTTGACGTGGTGGAGGAGGTAGTGATGGAGATGGTGATGTCAGAGAAGTGGTGCGGTTAAAACAATAGCATTTAGGACGAAGTGGGAATGAAAGACCCAGACGTTGACGGAGAAACCTATGTTCATACGAGGTGACTTCTTCGATGGTTCTTCTTCCAGTGTTCTTCTCTCGGGCGAGAAGATGCCTTATTTTTATTTTCGAAAAATTTCATTTAAAGGTCACAGAACATAATTAACTTCAAAGAGTTTCAAAACTTCCTGAAACTTCCCATAGAACCAAGGAGCAAACTGATATTAATGCCACAAAGAAAATGACACTATTACGCCTCATGTGAAAGCATGTAGGAGAGCCCATTTACAAATGGGACTAGACAATTTGCAATATACATACATTTATTTACAACTGAAATTAGTCAGTTTACATGTCACCTTTTTAATCTGAAAAAGGTGTTCGTGAGTGAATAAGCGTAAGAGAACTCATTTACAAATGAGATTTGTCAATTTGCAACATACATACATTTATTTACAACTGAAATTAATCCATTTACATGTCACCCTGCAATAAGTATTATAAAGGGTAATAATGTCATTTTCTTTGTGCAATTAATATCAGTTTGCCCCCTGGTCTTGCAGTGAAATTTCAAAAAAATTTTGGACACTCTTTGAAATTAATTATGTACTGCAGTCCTTAAATGAAATTTTTCCTTTTATTTTTTTGATGAAAAGAGACACCTTATTTAAAACAAAATACTCCTTCAATCCTAAATATAAAACTCATTTTGTAGTTAAATTACACTACAAAATGGGTTTTATAAATAGTTTTGGAAAAATTACTTAAACATATTAAATACATAAAAAAATATATTTTATTTTATAAAAATATCTTTACTCGTGAAAAAAGTCATGGGATGCGTAATGAATAATTAATTTAGTGATATAATATTGATTAAGGAGAATAAAAATGAAAGAAGTTGGCTAAAATTTCAGATAAAAAATTTGATTGCACCCACAATCTCACAAAAGCTTAAATGAAATATTTGGTGTCATTTGGTTTTTAAGCATAATTCTCTCTTGTACAAAGCTGAGCATGAGGTGTAATTAATTTATGACTAACAAGAACTTTCTCAATAGATAGACAAATTGACTATTGATGATAAATTAAATCGTATTTATATCTACTCTTGACTTTAGTTAATAAAAGCATCAATGATGCACTTTTATATATAACGCCTAGATCTAGTTGTATTGAATTTTAATTTGGGAGGATCACTAAAAGTTGATTCAATTGATAAACGTAACATTTATATCTAACAAAGGCAGAAAGTAGTCTTATTACTTTCGACCAAAAAAAAAAAGTAATCTTATTACTTAGGGGGAGTTTGAAAATCCTCATAAATACTTTAAAAAAATAATTTCATCTCATGTTTACCTCAAACTTCTTAAATTTACTTTCAAAAAGCTAATATGAATACTCATTAGATAATGACTTTATTGACAATTAACTTGTTGGTGCTTCTTCAAGCATTTTTTGAATTTTAAGAGGTCATTTTGATTTTATGATAAGTTTTCAAAATTTAACTCATCTAAGTTTTTTTAATAATAATAAAATAATAAAAGGTTTAATATTAATGTAAGTCTTTATAATTCGATCAAATTTTGATTTTAAATTACGTCCTTTGATCCATAAAGTTTCATAATATGTTAAACTGAGTTTTAAATAGCCTTTATATTTTTAACGAGTCTCAATTTTAATTTTAATTTTCATATCTAAACTCGGATGAAATATTTATGAAATTATAAAGAATAAAATCATCAATTTGGAATTTGGGGAGCAGGAGAACAAGAAAATGACAAAAAGACACCACGTCAAGTGGCGTCACGTGGAATTCGTGCTCAATTGCGTTCATACCAACGAACCAACCACCTAGTTGCTTCATCAAACCAGGTCAAAATATTTTTTTAAAAAAAATAAAATTTAAAAGTTGCTTTCTACTATCTAGTTTTGTTGTGATGTTTACCCCAAGAGATTAGAGAACAATCTTTCAAGAATCTTGTCAATAAAACATAGTACTCTTTTGAGCTCTGGTTCTAAATATAAAATCTTTTTATAATATAATTATACTACAAAATAGTTTTTTATTTAGGAGTGAAGGAGTAATTTCTAATGAACACTCCCACCATCCTATATTTCTATTTATAAGATAAAAAGTGTATTTTTTATATTAATGTACAATTATACTATTCAGTTATGATTCATGGATATAAGCCATTTAAGCATAGAATGTATACCTCCCATGCTTAATATAAGTTTCAGTTGCATAATTAAAAAAGATTAAAAAAATTACTAAATTACTTTAAAGTATTTATATTTATTGTTTTTCTATAAATTAATTTGATTTCCTTATAAATTGATATATATAATCTAATAATACATATAACTATTTTAGAGAGATCATGTAACATTACTATAATTAAAAAATTTAGTAACTTTCTTTAATCTCTACAAATCAGTTAACTAAGTATTATATTAAGTATCAAAAATAGTACTCCTCTTGTCCTTAATATAAGGCCCATTTAACTAATTTGATTAGATTAAGGAAGTTAGATAAGTTAGTTTTTTATAAGAAAAGTGACACATTTTTCCTAAAACACCATAATCATCTTTCTTAATACCTCATCTCCCTCTTCTACTTGATTATGGTTGAGAGAGTATCTATAAGGGTAATTTAGAGAAAATTGATAAATATGAGAAATGAGTTATATATTTAGGACCAAAACCAACTCAAGAATTTGGTCCTATATTGAGGACCGGAGGAGTACTAAAAAGGAGTAAGATCCCTCGTTTCTTATTATAAGAGATAAATAACTAAATTACGTTGATAAAAAAAACAGTTAAAATTAGTTGAGGACAATTGATGTGTAAAAAGTACAATGTTTTTTTTCCAATAATACCCCCATTAATAAGGAGAGAGTATGAGAGAGAACAATTAAATTATTAAAAGAAAGAGAAGTGGGAGGGAGAGAGAGTATGAGTTGGAGACAAAATAAATAGGAGTAAAATATGAAATCAATACAAAAAAATAGAAACAACTTTTAAGTGTCTCTTATATATGAAAACATACCATAAGCATCAAATGTCTCTTATAATAAGGAGTAAGATTTAAAATCTAATTTTTTTAATCCCAATGACATATATTAAAAGTGCCTTATTAATCCTGCCAGCACCTTAACCGGTTTCTCACCACCCCCCATGATTCTTACTCACTCTATTTCTTTTTATAAGCAATTTGCACTTATTTATTATTTATTTTAATACTCAATATATTTATTATTTTATTTCCCAAACCATCATCTCTCTATCACACATTTTCTCTCTTTTATAATTTTTTTATTATAATAATTTTTTTATTCTCTTTATGATACTCTCTCTCCCATAAATAAACATATTTTGGAGAAAAAACTTCTAATTTCCACACGTTTATTATCTTTAACCAATTTTAATTAATTTTTGATCTACATAGTAAAGTCAAATGTTCCGTACAAAAAAAAAGAGGGATAGAAGCCATTGTACTAGAATTTTTTTGTTCCTTTTTATAAGAACTTTTGATAGTTTTAGTGAGAGAATAGAGATTAATATGATGTTAAACTTTAATGTAATTAATGAAAGTAATATTAAAAATCACTTAAGTTTTAATGTTTTGAACTGTTTTTATTTATATGTGTCAATTATTTTTTTAAGCAAGGTATGAGTGTTTTAGTTGGTGAGCTCTTACAACGAGGAAAAGATGGAGTATAATTGGTTTTTCTCAAACACATGAGGAAAAAAAAAATGTTGGCCACAAAAAATAATCTAACATATTTGAAAAAAATTTAAAATTCACTCTTGACGTATGTTAAGCTTTTATAGATGTGCAAAAAAAAACACGTTGAAAGAATTTTTCCGCTTCTAGCCTAAGGCGGCTTGAATTCAGGTCATTAATATTAATATTGACTATTATACAGTTCTCAATGAAAGAAAAAAAAAGAAGAAGGACAGTACAAGAAAGTAAACTTTACACGAAAAAGCCACATGTAATTAAATTCAACAATATTCAAATCTAACTCAGGTGTCAAATATCACATTGGTATCTATAGTACATGTACACATAAAAATTAAAGGAAAAAACACCTTCTCAACAAATTATACTTATAAATAATACTCTTTTAGTCCTATTTATATGGCAGAAAAAAGATAATTTTTGGACCTATTTATAGAGCACTAAGAAATTTTTTTGTATGAGTGTGCAAATTTAACCCTTATTTATTATCATGTTGATTTTATTTACATAAAGTATAATATATATTAAATAGGAATAAAGATGGAAAGTTGTTAAATTTTCAATGAGAGTTAATAAAATTTAAAATTTTTCTTAATTTATGTGACACATGCTGGAAATGATTTATAAATAGCATAAAAAAAGTATCATTTAAGAAAATCACCATGACATCTCTAAATAAGTATAATCACAAAAATTTCAATAACAAGTTATCGGTGTGGATTTTATTATCATTTCTTACGTTAAAATTCATTATTCGCCTCCCTTAAAACCACGTAGTGATTTTTCCTATAATTTATTTCAAACCTTGGACAACTTTCGTTAGATTTTCAACATAAACCATTTTAAAGAACATATTTTATTATCACCCTCCTACCTTCATCATAGGGTACAACTTCTATAAATTTAGTGCCCACATGAACAGGACACTTTTCTAAAATTCTAAAAATAATTAATAAATTTTCTAAAACACCCCTAATAAATGATT